TCGACGAAGACGTCTAGACAGTGCGTCAATCGTGCGGGGCGTGCGGGGCGAGACGCGGGAAGCACGAGCCCGAGCTGCTTATGCCAATCTTTTTAGAAGCTCGGGATACGAATTGAAGGGTTAACACGTGTTTGCTTTTATTATTGTTAAATTTAGTGTAGATACTTATAATTAAAATGGTACATAGGACGTGCGCCGTGAGAGATTGCAAGTCGTCATCTCGCATGAATAAAGATCTGCGATTTCACCAAATTTCGCACATGGAAGAAAAATAAATAAATATTGTTATTATTATTTTACATTGTGTATACTTTATTATATCTTATTTTTTTTTTATTGTATCATGCCAAATTGCGAAATTAAAAAAATGGCGGACAAAAAAATAGGTACTAATCGCTGGGCATGTGTTTCGAAGTTTGATTTTTTCTTCTTCATCCAAATAGTGTGGTTGGACAGGCTTAAGTCTTAGACCATATTATAGTGCCTCGGGTTCGGTCTTTTGAAATTTTAAGCTATTGCATAGCTTCTATCGCGGGCCTTGAGCGCGGGGACCGAATCCAGAAATTCCGTAACGAAAAAAACCTCACGCTCCCCACTCCGACGGACACGGAGGTGTGGCGTTGAAAGCCGTGCATCGTCTAACATCGTTTCAGTTCCGCAGACTTCGGCACTCGGCAGACTTCGGCACGGTGTTTGTGTGCGTGCGACTAGACGTATGCGTCTACACTAGCTGCTAACTCAATGATAAAAATTCCCCAGTAACCTACATGTATTGTAAGATATTAAAAATATTTTAAACAATATTAACTTCTCATTTATTCAATAAGAGAAAAATAATTGTTTTCTTATCGGTCACCACGCTCAAAAAGTGTAACTTGATTTAACTTGATTTAACGTTTAGACTTAACTGCATAAATAAAATAAATAAATAATTATAATTGCATAAGTTGATAAAAAATGCTCTGCAATAGCTTTACCGCGGCAGTCACCGAGTGCCACACGTATTTTTTATTTTTTATAAAATCGTAAGGTTTAGGGGTCAATTTTTAGGTTTATTGGGTTGTTAATTACGGCTAAAATAGAATTTATTTTTAAAGCCATGATGGCGGTCATTTTTAATGTATGAATGATATACTCTTAGATGTTAATTTCGAGGTCTCTTGGGGTGTTGATTACGAAAATGGCATATATTTTCATATTTAAGATGGTTGACATATTTTTTTTAATGTAATGTATGTCAATTTATAGGTTTATTGGAGTGATAATTACGAAAACGGCATCCACTTTCATATCCAAGATGGAGGACATTTTTTAAATAAATGATATGTATTTCAATTTAGAGATTTCTCAGGGTGCTGATTACGAAAACAGTACTCGTTTTCAAATCCAAAATGGTGGACATAATTTTTTTATGTTATGGATGTCAACTTTGAGGTTTCTAGGGTCAATGATTACAAAAACGGCATCCATTTTCATATCCAAGATGGCGGACAGTTTTTTATTAGATCTAAAAATAATAATGAAATTTGTAAAAGTTGTTAATTTGTGCCAACCCTAGCCTCCATGCGTTGTCTAGGCGTTGTCGGCTTTTACCTTGAGATCAAAGGCATCGTCCTACTGTATGTCTTTGTAATACTGTGATGGTAACTAGCATAAATATGGGGCTCAACATATTTTTTTTTTTTTAATTAAGAAGACTTAGCTGCCAATTTTTTTGTTTGTTACCATTTTTCCCCTTTAAGAAGACACTATTTTGGTTAATGGATCATTACAACACTACTGACAAGTTGCCATAATAATTTAACCATAGGCAAAAAAAAAACATTAAAAATTCTTTTGTACGTTAACAATTATACGAAATTACCCGAATAGCTTTTGCAAAATACGTATATATTATCTATGTACATTTACGTGTGATCGGCAGATCTAGCCTTGCTTGACAATGCAAGTTCGCCAGATGCATTTTGTCACCTAGAAAACCTTCTCAAAACAGTACTTAACCCTTGGACGATAAAGGAACTAACCCTCTTATCACTTGCGATGATTATTATTCCCGGGTACATTATGTTATACTTAACTATTTAAAGTTTGATTTCACTTTGAAATGTTATTTTATACATGACTACTATAATATGAATGTAGCGTAAGTAAGATAAGATATTTTTATAATATTTAATGTTTCTGTACGTTGGCAGCGTAAAAAAATCAACGGCACGTGGATATAATGCATTGGTTTCAGCTAGATATTTGCATACCTCGTATGCGAAGCGGAAAGGTTAAGATTAATTGTTGAATTGTCAAGGCTAATATCTCCTGTAGATATTCTCACATTAATTTAGTTTTTTATTTTTTTTTTGTTTTCCTCAGACACCTTTTAGGACAACAACCGGAGGATATGGTGTAGTGGATGTTCTTACACGACCACTACACGGTAACACGGCCCTCTCAAAACATTTTATATTTTAGGACCAATCGAAATAAACACCCAATGACTGACACCTTCAACATTACAAGGATATATTTTTTATGGTGTAGTAACAGCCTGAATCGACACATCGTGTTTGAGTATTTTAGGAACAGTCTCGTCAAAGACTCATTACTAGTAACACATCTCTTACAAACACTTTCTACTTTACAAATCGTACTGTTTTAGCATAACTAAAAGCTATTCCCTGTTGTATTGATAGCACCTATATTGTATTAGCATTAGACTGACACTATCGTATTACTTCTTTGATGTAGGTGTTTCGAAAGATAGAACAAATAATTTACCTTAAGTGACTAGAATATTGGCAATAAAGGTGTGGAGACTGCCGAGCGTCCAGTTGTCCAATGTTGGGATAAAAGATAGGAATTAAATAATGTAATTCTCTCCGAAATGTATTCTAAAGGATAAAAAGAGACTGTGGAGATCATTGTAGGTGTATGTAGGTGGTATTTTACAGCACCAGCCCATAGGTGACAGCAATACTCTTTGCACGACCGACCTTCCACCTTATATGGGATAGAAAGCTGTACCGGACGTAACGCCGTTTATTTATCCAGACCAGCAAAGGCAGAAAGGAAAGATGTTGAGTTCTATGCTGTGATTGCCAATCCGCTTGTTAATTTTGACGAATATGACCAATACTATGAGCTCTTTCATCTTCTGTCTATGGCTGGCTAATATCTGGCATATATTGGATAATGTGCGACTTTTTACTTCATTTTAATTTGAGGCAATGCAATTAACTGACAGTGTAGAAAAAGCATAAACCAAAATATTTAAAGTACACAAACAATCAATCTAATTTAAAAAGTTCACAAACAATCTTATATAAATATTCTGCCAATCAAAAATAAAAACGTTCTTCTCTGAGAACAATTAAAAGACCACTTAGTTTCGATATCAAATACAATTGGGAAAACGATAAGTGAATACTAAAGGAAAAGTATTCATGTATTAGGAAAATCATTTTACGAACACAGTAGAAAAAATCAAACCTTAAGTAAAGTCAGGAGATGAAAATAAATGTCATTTCTTTCAATTTCAACATAAGCTAAACAGTTAAGATTTTATAGTTTACCTTTGACCTTATTCATCATTGTTTGAGCTGTTATCAGAAAGATACTTCTGCTCATCTCCTGCTTCAGTTTCCCTTTATCGCGTCTTACGTATGACTCCCACGTAATGATGTTGGATAGTGGATTTTCTTACTTCTATATAACACGGAAATATTAAATAGTTTTTATTAACATAATGTAAGTAGATGGTAATTATCAATAATTTCACATCCGCGTTTTACAGTAACTGAGAACTGTGCTAATAGTTGAAGGTGCAGTAGCTACTTATCAGGTGGACTGTAAGTTAATAAGTTTTTCACTTTAATTTTATAAAATTAAGGTAAGTTTTATACCCGGCACTGACACAAAATTTTCACTTCCAATTAAAAATTTGTTTTATTACGAGTAAACAAATTTGAATTTGAATGTGAAAATTTTAGTAGCGTCGGAAAAGCATCGAAAGGAAATCTTATCGTCTGAAGAATAAAATATATTTTGTGGATATTATGACGTCCATCGAACTGAAGTTGAGTGGCAGACTCTTCGCGTCATTAACTTTTGAATGCAATGAGTAAGCCTGCGCTTAATATGTTACGTTTAAGGAAATGAGAAATTTAATAAAGCTGAGCTAAAATAATTTAAAATTTTGCGTACAACCTTCTTGGTTCTTTTTCATTAATTTATTACTATTACCGTTACAGCCTATTACAATCCACTGCTGAACAAACGCCCCCTTCATAGATTTCCTCATAGGAGGGATATTTGTCAAATCGTCACGCTTCGCGAGCGGGTTGGTAACCGCAGTTTTTTATTAGTTTTATATAAAGTCGTAATTAGAAAGACGCTGCACATCTCCTGATTTGTTTCCATCTTTTACGAAACCCACGGGATGATATAGGATAGAGGATATGCTTTCATTGCAGTCTATCAGAAGTCCACTACTCTTCCATAGACTGGCTCAATAAAATCACCAAATGTTTGCAATATTTTTCAAACTTGACACGATACAGTATACATGAGTGTTTGTATGTAGTTTAAACATAAAAACTAAAACGTATAAATCTAAACTCACCGTGCACAAGAAACACGGCAGCATTATATAAAGAAGATATTTCTTTATTATTCGCTTAACATGAAAAGTATTAATCTGACGGTTAATTTTATTCAAATCTTTTGATTAAGTGCAAACAAATTTGTACATTCGATTCTACAACTTATGGTCGTTTTTATATAGTTGGTGATTACAACGCCATCTATTAAACTACATTATCATTAAATTTCATCTACCCACGAATATTCGGAAGAAGTGGAATATAATGCTTAATTTCAATCGCTATTAAGGAGCACGCTTGGTCGAACGGTACAAGTGACTTGGTTAGACACCGATACGACGGAGAATCGAGCCTCGAGGCAGACAGAAATATTTTTGTCTTTAATTTTCTGACATAAATACAAACATGGAGCAAAAACAACAAACTCCTTTAAAGAAATGTTTCAAATGTAAATCAATAATAGAAAATCGACAGTTCACAATTTGTTCAGTTTGTAATAATATCTACCATATTGACTGTGCAAACATAACTTTCGCTCGTTTTAGAATATGGACAAATGAGACTAAAAAATCATGGAGATGTTTTAAATGCATAAAAAGTAAAAAAAATACAGTCCTCTCTCCATCCCTAGAAAAAGATGCTGTCAATATCACAATACGTAAAAAAAGGACTGATGAAACCCTTGAAAGTAACGATATGAATGCTTTTGACTCAGAATCTCCAAACAGCTCAGCAAAAACTAGCCAGACACTACTACCTAAAGAAAAATTATTAGCAAAATCACTATCGATGGAATTTCCTGTTGAATCATTAAACAATAGTTTCCAATCCTTAGAAGATTTATCACACAGTTTAGAATTAGTAAATGAACTCGATATTGTGAGCAAACAAAATTTGAAAATAGATGACTTACAAATTAAATTAAAGAGTTGCGAGTCTGAATTAGACGGAACAATTTTGGAAAATAATGAATTACGACGACAAGTCACCAAATTGACACAAGAGCTACTTATTATGAAAAATATATGTAAAACCCCACAAATTGTAAAAAAACAGCGCAAGAGTTTGTCCTCAAGTTTTCCTAATAATATGACTCCAGATAAGACAAAGACAGAGCAAATTTTTGTTTTGGAAAATACAATCGTAAAATTACAACAAAACCTGAAATTAGCTCAAGAAGAAGTAAGCAATCTATGCACAAAAATCGAAAGCTTAGAAAAGCAATTGAAAGACAAAATAACACCAAAAACTGATTTAGAACTAAATAATTGCACAAAAAATCATGTACATAAGGATACTAAATCATTACATAAACCATTAAAACACAAATTGTGTATACTCACAAGTGACAAGAGATATAAAATACTACAAAATGTAAACAGAAATCATGTTCTAAGTCAGTATGAGTTATGTCACTTTATTACTACAAATGCTGGGATAGAGATAATTTTAAAAAATATATATTAAAAATTAAAGGACTATACAAAACACGACTACTGTGTTGTGATAATCGGAGAATCGGATTTTAATACCTCAGAAGACTATAAAGGTCTGGTGAAAACAATCAAAACCAGGCTGGAACAAGTAAAAAATACAAACGTAATTGTAGTTTCACCAACATACATATGTGGAAAGCCATTATATAACTACAGAGTAGAGACTTTCAATTACCTACTTAATCAGGACATAAACACTAATAAATATGGCTATTATATTGATTCAAACCTGGACTTAACATATGATATGTTTTCACAGTATACTGGTAAAATAAAACAAAATGGAGTACAAAATTTAATGCAAAATATTGCCAAACAAATATTATCTCTACAAAAATCGAGTGATGAGAAGCAAATCGACACAAGAAAAAAGACCTCTATTATCCCTGATGAAAATCAGTTTTTTCTTCTATAATTACTTACATATATTACATCAAAACATATCGGGACTATTGAACAAATGTGATGAGTTAGTATTAAATCTGGATGAGTTAGATAGACAAAAAAAAGCTATCGACATTCTATGTGTGACCGAGCACAATATGATACCAGAATTGGAAGAATTCCTTACAATACCTAATTTCACATTAGCAACCAGTTTTTCAAGAAATAAAAGACGTGGTGGATCATGTATTTTAGTAAGAAAGGGATTAAAGTATAGAGTAGTTGATAATATTAAGAAATTCTCGATTAATTGTATGATAGAGACCTGTGCTGTAGAAATAAGTGACCATAACATGATTGTGATATGTATTTATAGAGTTCCTAACACAAATAAATCTTGTCTGGATACGTTCTATGATACTCTTAGAGGCATTCTAAATACTATAATAAATACTAAAAATAAAAATATAATTATCTGTGGCGATTTTAACATTGATATTCCGAAAAATACTTCTGTTAGTCGAGAATTTTCAAATCTACTGTTAGGCTATAATCTGAAGCTAGCAATACAAAAGCCGACAAGAGTTGCAAGTGGAACGTGTATTGACAATTTTGCACATAATATAAGAGGATCAAACAGTGAGGTCATTGAACTAGGCCTTTCGGATCATATGGCGCAAATTTTAAAATGTCCTGTAAAAAAAACATGTATAATCAATTCGTGGAGTATTAAAAGGAGAGATTTTAGCTATGAAAACCTTCAAACATTTAAAAGATGTATTGATAGCCTAAATTTCCAGGATATATTTAATTCTTCGGATCCTAACACATCTTATGATGGTTTTTTTGACATATTCAAATGCTTTTATGATCTATGTTTCCCCTATAAAATTATAAAAAATACTCTGAATCCCAAGCAAAAATGGATAACAAAGGGACTTAAAGTATGTTGTAAAAAAAAGCGAGATTTACTTTGGCATTTTAGGAGAAAAAAATGCAAAGATGCTTTATCACTATTAAAAGAATATTCATCAAAATTAAGGAAAATAATAAAAAACACACAACGTTCACAAAATGACAACTACATAAATAAGTCAAGAAATAAAATGAAAGCAACTTGGTCCGTTATATATAAATCCAAAACCAATATTCCCAAAGAACCGATACAGAAGCTAAGAGTAGGTAATGAATATCTTACTAACCCTATTGATATCACTAATGCGTTTAATGATTTTTTTGTTGATGACATGGAAACTGAAAATTGTACTATTAATACTGACATTTCTTCAAATAATAACAATAACAATTCTAACAATAATTGTAATAATAATGTAAATTTAAGTCATTTATCTTATTTCAATAATAATTACAAATCTTTATTTTTAAGACCGACAACACCTGACTCAGTGTGTAAAATTATAAATAGTCTAAAAAATACTAATAGTGTTGGTTTTGACGACGTTTCTACAAAAGTAATAAAATATGTTAGCTCTACAATAGCAACACCTTTGAGTCATATTATTAATTTAAGCTTTACTACAGGTATATTTGTAAACAATTTGAAACCAGCTGTAGTAAAGCCATTATTTAAAAAAGGTGATAAACACATTGCCAATAATTATCGTCCAATTGCACTGCTATCAATTTTCTCAAAAATATTTGAAAAAATTATTCATGGCCAGCTTTACGAATTTTTGGAAAAACATAATATTTTAAACAAAGAGCAAAAAAGATTTCGCACAAATACTGCGATCGCAACAGCGATATACGACTTAGTAAAAAGGGCAGTGATTTGTCTAGATAAAAGGATCCCATCATGTGCAATTTATATGGACATGACGAAAGCATTTGACCTTGTAGATCATAATATATTGCTGGAAAAACTAAGCCGTTATGGTGTAAGAGGTAATGCACTCAATTTAATAAAATCCTATTTAACAGATAGGATACAAAAAACCGTAATCAGTCAGATCTGTATCTCTACAAGACAAGAAAAATTATATACCTCTAATAATAGAACGATAAAGCGTGGCGTTCCACAGGGAAGTGTTTTGGGTCCTTTACTCTTTATAATATATATCAATGATATCGTCAAGTCTTGTAAATATCCAATGATACTATTTGCAGACGATAGCACTATTTTTGTACAGTGTGACAATGTAGCAGAATATCAAAATAATATTAACTTTGCTATTGAAAACATTATTAAGTGGTTAAAATCAAATAATCTCAAAGTTAAACTAGAAAAAACAAAAATTATGCAATTTACACAAAGAAAAAGTACTCCAAATCTAATAATAAGTTATGGAAATAAAACAATTTCTGAAACAAAAGTAGCGAAATTCCTAGGGCTGTTTATAGATAGCAACATGTCATGGGAATCACATTCAATAGAAGTCTGCAAAAGAATGTATAAATTTTCATTTGCACTATATAAACTGTCGAAAATAGCTGACCGAAAAACTGTTCTAACAGCGTACCATGGCTTTGTGGCTTCGACCCTGCGATATGGTATCATATTTTGGGGACTATCAACATACAGGGAATTAATTATGAAAGCTCAAAAACAGTGTATTCGAGCTATATGTGGGATAAAGTCTACAGAAAGTTGCATACCATACTTTAGATCTCTTAAGATATTAACATTACCCTGTATTTATATACTAGAATCGTGTATGTTTGTAAAGCGTAATCCGGAACTTTTTGATATAGGAGTACAACCATCTTTAGTTAACCTTCGTCCTCGAAAACAAAAAATCCAGACGAACGTATGCAAAACTGCCCTTATGAAAAAAAGTGTTATTGAAATGGCCCCTAAATTATATAATAAGTTACCTGATCACATAAAATGTTATAATGAGCAAAAATTTAAATCTATTTTAATTAAATTTCTTATAGATAAATGTTATTATAATGTCAATGAATTTCTATTTACTAATAATTTAAATATGTAATTTAATAATTTTATTTTGACTCTACTTAATTTTATTACTTTGATCTGTTTTTTTTTTATATATATATTTAATTTTATGATGTATGGATATATAAATTCGTATGCTGTTAAAGCATTTCACGGAGGTACTATAAAATTATAACATTGTCAACCTTGTTACCTGTGAAAACGAATAAAATGATTGATTGATTGATTGATTGATTATGCTGCTAATTTGCGCTGATATTCTATAAGAACGTGGTTCTTTTTCGATCGCTTTCTGCAGTCGCATAAGTTACTTAGTGACTTACCATGCTGTATAAGCGGTGGCTCTTTATAGGCTTATGCTCTAAGGGAGTAGACGTTGCCTCCAAAGCCTCCCAGTTATGCAGTTATAAATGACACTAATGTTGCGCGTCATAATAAATGCCTGTTACGTGGCGAGTTACAACAAGCGCCATCTATTATTGAGAAGCAGAACTAGGAGAGTCAAGATCTTTCTAGAAAATTCCATACTAGACGATCTACACCTAGTCATTCAGGACGGTATGTACTCGAACATTCTAAATGTTAGAGTAGAAGGGGCCCTGTATAGAGCCGGTAAGGACCGCGACCGAGTCAATATTGAATTGGCAATCAAGCGAATAATTCGAAGCGACATAACTGCGAACTAAAGTGATCAATAGCACAGTTGTATTTTATTATTAGTGTGTTTTAAGTTGTAATTGGTGTTCGGTAATTAAAGTGTTGGTTTTGTTCATTCAATCGGCAGTTTTTATTGTTACGAACCCCATCTTCTCAGAACTCTGGGTATAGCCAAATCCTATAATGATTGTAATGTCTCGTTTGATTTGAAGGCACTCAACCGCCATCTTTCCTGCCTGCTATTTTCGTTGATGTCTCTATTAAATCTACAACACTTAATATTCTCTCTAATATTCCTTAGCCGTTGTGTTCTCCTTTTGATTTTAGTAAAGTTACTGAAGGTGACATAAAAAGGTCTTTTATCCATTTTCACTAAAGTTATCTGCTATGACAATTTGTGTATTTAAATGACTAAGGCTATTGGTGGGGCGATAGTCGAAAGGTGATACGTGGTGAACGATTAGGGGACTGTATTAGCGCGGTTTGTTATGAACCAAAACAAAATAGCGAACGTGGCACGTGGCGGCTTTTGGACAATATACCTGCTACAAATTCAATTTAATGCGTTAGCCGGTACGATAGAAACATGAGCTACTGTGTGGAAAAGGAAAAACAAAATAAAAAAGCTCATAATTAGAGAACGGGCACTTACCTGGGGAACCTGCGACCGGCCTTTCGCATCTCTTTTTATTGTATCCTACGTTAATCTTAAAGAATAAGCCTCCGTCTTAAGAGGGGAGATGTTATGAACTGATTTACAAGGTAGTAATTGTTGTTGTAAGCATTATGTTAAGTATATAAAAGGGATTTTTCATATAATTTAAACAGTTAAACTCTTACCTTTGTTTGGTACACAACTTTTTTATAGTTTATATTATTCCGAAGTGTAATTAAATTAAATTAGGATTGCAGCGGTAAAAGGTGTCTTTTTTTTAAAAGGACCCAAGGTGAGCCAAGAAACTGTTTGCACCGGGGCAAGCGGTCACGACGAAAGTTTGTATTGCACTTGT